ACTGACTGATTCTATAACATTATATTGTTAGTTCATAGTATTCTTCTCAAATACTCTTTTGTTTATTAGACGTGAATCAATATCAGAAGAGGTTTTATCATCAACACTTGCGACAAATCAGTCACAACATAATAATCCGTTTCAAGTGTATAACTCATCATCATCGTCACAGTTAGAATCAATTTCTCGTGATACATCTTTTATTCCATCTCTTATATGGATTGGTTTAACTAAACAAGAATTTCATCTACAACCTTATCAAGTCAAATGCTTAACACTAAAAGCTCTAGCACCACAACTTGGAATTTATAATTTATGTACATTTAGTATAAAAGCCGCTCCTTTATTACTATGTAATTCACATTCTAATCTAAACATAACAAATAAACCTTTGTTAATTGATCAAAATATATTTCCAATATTTCTTGTTAAAAATCATAATATGTTATCTTTAGTTATTGTAGAATAAATAAAAAAAAACACAACCATTGTGTCCATGTAATCAATTACTGTCTGCCATGTAAACACAATCATTAACAACGTGCCTGTTTTCATTTTGTTGTAATTCAATGTATCCAATAGATGATAATGTAATTATTTCTTTCATTTTCATGACTGATATCATCAATAAAACATAATGATGATAATATAATTTTACTCGAATTGATGTTTATCTGTCTTATGATTTGTCTTTATATATATATATCGGTTTATTTTTAAGCGTAGATGCATCTAGTGTGTACATTTAAATTAATGCTCAAATGCTTCATACACTTATTTTTATTGATTTTTCGTACTTCATCTATATTCTTACCTGTGAAATTTTGTTACAAATAGATGAAGGGTTTAGTGAATTAAACGAATGGAAAGTAGAATACCTGTGCGTCTGTACTATATGTATCCATGTGCAATTATCTTTAACCTTTTGCTTTTCTATTCGTCGTAGTTTATCACGTTAGTTTTGATTGTTTTGGGTTTTGTTGTTAGTGATGAACACATCGTAACTCTGATCATGTTTGCATATATATGTGTGATTCTGTAAAACTATTGGTATTGCTACTATGTAACTAATGTTCCTTATTTTGTCATTTAATTATTTACATTTCCTTCTCTCTAGTTTCTTTTTTTTTTTTTTTAATATTTATTACTCTTAATCCGTAAACTTTCACTGTTGTATTTGTGTACACTCCTTGTGGTGCGGCTTATGTTCTGTCGGTGAACTTTTAAAGGTAGTTTCATTTCTAATTTTCTTTGTAATTATTTATTTTGGAATTCTTCCTTGAGAAAAATAAATACATCTTAACCGATATACCAAATAAACCACGTAGATATTCCTTTTGAATTCAGTAATATTTGACAGTTGAAAAATAAGCTGTTTCTAATGTTTAAATTGAAACCAAAAATTCCGATCTCTCGGTGACTCAGTTGATCATTTAGAGCATTTCGTGTGCCAGTCTCAATAATGAACCTGCTACGTATGTATATTGCTTCAAATTGTCATACCTCATTAGAAAGGAGAAATCAAAACGTCAGACCAAATCTCAGAATGGTAAAGGTAGTAACAGTATCAATGGTAATAGGAAAGATTAAATATTAAAGTCACGACTCGAAAATAAAATATAAGTTAATAAAATAAGAACTAACCAGATAGTCTATGCCTTTTAACATTGCAAAGTCCAGTTGTGAATGACTTCATGGACTGATGTCATGTTTTGGTTTGACGACTCCTATCTTTCTTCCAGCCCGCTCCTGCACCAGTTGCCACTCGTCAAGATCAAGATTTATTATCTCTTCTATCAGTTTGGCGTTCTTAATGAATATTCTGCTCTTATTCTATTGCTTCATCAGTGATCCCAAAATACACAAGTAACGCTTCGAAGGTACTTATGATCAAATACTACTAACCTATGAATATCCTTGATTCTTAGTGGCCATGATCTCATTTATAAAGTAGAACGAAGTGAATTGCTACATAGTAAATCCGTCTTTTGCTTGGTAGACGGATAATTCACGCCACAGGTGACGCAATCGACAGAAGACTTCTGAACTCGTGCCGATATTTCGTGAGGCGCCAGTACTAATGAGACTCCTAAGATAAGTGATACCTTCAACTACTTCACTCCCTACCATTTATTCAGGTGCTGATCCAAGCCAATCATAATGCAACATTTGGTAACTAGAGGGAGGGGATCATATCCCAAACATACTTGCATTGTTGCTTAACATGATCAGAAAACTCAGCATTTTTTCAAGCTCTGCACTAAATACAATTATATCTTCTGCATATTCTACGTCAACATATAAATCGCATGGTAGATCAGTCCGTGAAAGTTCACAAGGTGAAAGTGTTATATCTAGAAGCACGTCTATAACAATGTTAAATAAAGAGAAAAAAGCGAACAATCCTGACGAACGCCACATGAAGTAACCAATTCCGATAACAGTTCGACATAAGCTCTGACTCAACCAGTAGTGTTTGAGAAGAGTCTGTACAAGGTCAATGTATCGCTGTGGTATGCCTTCCAATGAAGGACTTCCACAGAACCCCACGATAAGCAGAGTCGAACGCCGCCTTAAGGTCAAGGAATACAAATATTACCGGACGTCGGGAATTATGTCTATTCCTGCTCATCATATTTGGAACCTGACTGGATGAGTTGCTCAGCCCCTGTCACTTCAGTAGACACCGCTGAAATCTTCTGATTTGTCTTAACCTATTGGTTTAAGTTATTGGTAGATGTCACTTATGTTTCCACAAATTTTCGGATATTATCTCAAGTTGCTTCGGGGTGGATATCACTTCTATGGTTGACTAACTCCCCTAATTGTTTCCGAAACATGATCCAATTTTTTCTCATTAGGTTGGACCCGGGCAAACATGTGCTCTAACTAGACCATGATCTGATTGCTCAAGAATGAGCAACAGTCTTCTATCGAGTCTCGAACAATGGCTGATGGCAATGCGATCTATTTAAACCCATCGGTAGGTTGATTGTGGGGATCGCCACGTTAGGCTATGCTTCTCCTTGTGTTGGAGTTCGCTAGAATCAGACGATTATCTGGGCACAGCTGCAGCAGACGGTCGACATTATCTGTCCGCCAAGCCGCGACACCGTAAGATCCACCTAAGTGTCTTTCAGTTTGGTCTAGTTTACCTAATAAGAATTAAAATCACCTGCCACTTCTCCTACGCTGGAAAGCTTCACATAAATACTATCGTTATGTTCATCTGAGTGGCAAACAGTGGGAACGTAGACTGGAACAACGAAGAGGCCAAGGTGTGTATCTTTTCGAGTTCTTACCATCTCGTTTAGTCGGACAGCGCACAAACGACTGCCTATTGGAATCCAGCTTAAGAGAACTTAATGCTATGCCTACACTAACGAACCCACGGGAGATGCCAGTGGGGTCTCCAGATACACAAAGGGTTAGTCGACCTGCTTCTTCATAATGACAACAAAAGGTCAAGTAAATGACTGTACTCAAATCCTGTGGGCGCGTTTTGAACACAGCGTACGTTGATGGAGCAAGATTCTAGAATCCTAGCTAATGTCCAACATACGATCTGACCGAAGGTTCGAACACTAAAAGCTCCAATATGTTGTGGTTTCAGGAATAACTGTGTCGTGCCTTGATAAGAATAATGAGTGGTAATTTTTGGGATCTGTTTGTGGACCAATACTATACGTATACTTTTATCGTATAATTGTTAATTAACTAAACTATTCATATGCGTGTCCCTCTTATTATGAGCTTCATTTTAAACTATGAACTGTTATTATACGATTTTGCATTCTTGAATTATTCCCTGTCTATTAATCACTACCTCCCACGTCCACAGCCACATTTGGCCAAATCTTGTACAAATGTTATTTTCTATTTTATTGTACGCTGCGGTCTGCTTGAGACCGATCAAGACTCTAGGCTACTCGTACGGGTTTTTACGCGTCATTGATTCTATCGATAATTCGCTGCTCTCTAATTGGCGGTATCATTACGTTACACAGTAATAGGGCACACAGGCCACAAATCATAACAGTAGTACAACCGCCTATTCACATTGTTGTTAGTACTTTAGTTTCAGATAAACTCTGGCATGTTTGTCATCATAGTTGAATTCAACTTTTAAATAATTACACCTAACGAAATATGTAATTAATGTATGAAAAATAATCGTTTTATGTAGGAATGAAATAAAAATATTCAGATAGTACATGAAGGCACTTGGAAATAATAAAAGTACACCATGACATAAAAGTCTTATGAGTGGTTAAATAAGATCTTAGAGACTGAATATCATTTCTATTCAATATCTACCATAAGAATGAATCTAAGTGATGAACCTTTAATTTCGATGTGATCCAATACTCCACTCTACGAGTTGTAGATGAACTTGGAAGAGTGTTTTTTTTGTGGAAAATCTTTATATAATTGTTCTTTTGACAGTTCTGTATGAGTTCTAGCATACTTAGTTTTGATGAGTTTAAATTAAAATTACCAATCACTCTATTTAGTTTAATTTAACCAGATAACTATTCACTAGACTAGTTGTATAGAAAAACCAAAAAACTAAGGCATCCTAACAAGTATGAATTATTCGAAACCATAATGAAGCTTACAGGATCAGGAAGTGACAAGATTATATCAATTAGTAAATATAAACGTAAATAAGTGAACCGTTAATCTTATAAATAAAAAAATTTACACATTTAGACGTGGATCTATGCTTCATTGGTTGTTTGAATATTCTACTACGTTCCGCAAATTCAACAGTAAAGATGCAACCCATAGATTGATAATTTATAGACCTATTTATGGCTCCTCTGTTAAATTAAAGAACGGCAAAAACGCTGAAATATTGTGAAAACAACAGATCAATTCGAATCAAATAATCTATGTATAATAGTTCACGATATGGACCTGAAACTTAAGGAATAAAATGCACTTGTGTCCCCCCCCCAAGTCACCCGATCCGTATGAACAATAAAAAAATAAAATTTACACAAAAAGTGATTCACTTGAAGAGATCGGGCATTTGTAGAATATTACACCTCAGATTTAATAACTAATTAGTTGGAATAGTGAGTCAAGATACATACAAATACACTACACATCACAATAAACATATAAGCATACCCTTTAATGACATGATTAATTAACCTTTCTGTTTATCACTTTTAATACATAATATATTATTGGGTTTTCTATTTAACCATAGAAGAAAACAACAAGATAAATGTAATGACCTCAAAGCAAATCAAAACAAGTATCCACCATTTTTAAGTTTACACATTTCCCGATGAGTATTAGAATTCCCTTGAAAACTTTTATGGAAGTTTGTTGGAATATTTTTACCATGAAGAGAGCAGCAAATTAAATATTGAACAACTAACTAAAACAAATAGTGTTAATCTTTTGTCAATACAGAAATGTATAATAGCAAAGATAAACACAAACGCACATACAAACTGAGAAAAGAGATGTCTGAGAAAGCATATGAACGGATTTTGAAGAAATTTCACGCAATGATAATGATAAGAATTATTACTATTATCAACGATTCAGCATAACTATAGTAGTAAGTTTACAGAACAAAGCGACCCACGAAGAGACCAATGATTAAAGCTGTGATTAAATATAAAATCGGTGGGATGTTACTAAAAGTATCAGCTCTGGCTTGATTATGATGACGGCTACCACTGGTAGGCATTGATCCAGCACCAGATTCAATAGGCATTCGACATGTATCTGAGATAGCTGCTGTACGTCGTAAATGGAGATCCGATTCCTATGAACAGTTATAAACCATGAATATTTGGGAAATAAATAAATAATAGATGATTTTAAAAAATCAAGACATTTGTTGTTTCACTACTACTCTATATGTTTCAGGTAACAAAAGATGAGTTTAAATAAGTTATAATACCTTTTCTATGAAGCTACGTTTAATTAATTTTATATATGCAGTGTATAGTAAAACTTCCGAAGGATGCAGTGAAACAAATGGTGTAAACCATGAGTTAAAAACTCAATAATCAACTAGCTGTTAATTTATCTACACATGCTGTCTTCCTCCTCCAAAAAGCCATAGACATTTACAGATCAAGAATCATTACATTCATTTAGACTAGTGTGACACATTATATTAAACATCATATTATCATTAACCAGATAATCAACTTAAGAATGTTAGTAAAAACAATAATCACACTTAATTTGGTAGCATCATTTACTTATTCATTTGAAGTATACAAAGATCTATACGAAATTATGTCTACAAGATACCTGATGATAGTCTCTGGACAGAAGTCAACACAGACGCTTTCATACAAGATAATTTGTAACTCTGAGTATATATACACATTAAATATGAAATATACAAATAAATCAAGACAACAGAAAACCCTACTATTAACTAGACATGTATGTTATTCCAGTCATACCTTTGTTTATTTTCAGTTGAAAACTGCTGTGTTAATTAATTTATTTATTTGAACACATAAATATTGGTACAAGAGGGCACCAAATATATATGTGCCACACAAAACAATGAGAATGGGAAGAGAAAAAAAGGTAAGGAGAAAAAAGAAGAAAAAAAGAACAATAACGACCAGATTAGTGTAAGGTGGTGTAGTAAAATTATTAATTATTATTATTATTATCATGAGGGAAACGGGAAGGTACAACCAGAAGAATTCTTTCAGTGAAGGCCCATCACAAGCCATCCCTTTGCAGCTTTCTTTCATACCACGACTGCATCTCCTCACGATGCTCCACTGCCTTGTGGGTCAGACGTTCAGGTCGAAGGCTCGGGGTGTGGTCCCCTAAGAAAACCACATGCTTCGGTTTGGGCACCCGGGCAGTATCACAGCCCTCACACAAATCAATTGCGATTCGTGTGGCGCATATGTACTTGGTGCCTCTCTGTACCTATACTTATGTGTTAAAATAAATAAATATATACGACACCATGTCATATACTGACCACCTCTCCGCTTTTTCCAACCAGTCCCAGAGTCGGCAAATAATGCACGACGTGGAATTCTCTGGGACGACATTCGTAGAACATGTCCACGTCACCGAAGTCGATGTTTCAAAATGATGACATTGATTGGATTATCGTCTCTGCGCCGAACACACGATGCCGAACCTCTGCATTACTGACATGGTGTTGCCACTGGATGTCAGCAATCCTTCGGAGACAACGATGATCGAACACAGAGAGTCGTCTAACATCCTCAACTCGGAGAGGCTAGGTTTCACAAGCATAGAGCAGTACTGCTTTCACCGACACGTTGTAGATCCGACCTCTTACAGCCAGACTAACATCACGAAGGCGCCAAAGATGGCCCAGATTGGCATAAGCCTGTCTACCTTTCACTACACGTGAATTGATGTCATCACTCACGCCACCACCAGCACTTATGCAGCTACCCAGATGCACGAACTTCTACTGCTCACCACCCATGGTGAGTGCAGGACTAGCATCCTACTTTGCACTTCGAAGGTGCAAAGCACATACCATACCTACGGGCACTGATTGCCAACTAATTAAGTGAGGATTGCATGGCTTGGGTGTTATCGCACAGTGAGACAATAGCATCCGCATACTCAAAGTCGAGAAATCTTTCTCCAGGCAACAGACTCACACCGTCATTACTTACATCCGTCAGAGCTGTTTCCAGAATGTCATCGATGGCAAAGTTGAAGAGGAATGGTGAGATTGGGCAACCCTGCCTAACCCCACTGCTCGAATGGAATAGTGGAGAAAGGTGGTTGTATGCCCTCACTCTGCCTGAAGTGTTTGTGTATAGGGCTTTTAGGATGTTAATTAACTTCTCAGGCACACCCTTCTTCAATAGACAATCCCAGAGAACAGTTCTGTCCAACGAATCGAAGGCAGCCCTGATATCAAGAAACACTACGATTGTTGGCCTTTGATAAGTATGGCGGTGTTCTAACACTTGGCGGAGGGTGAAGATATGATCAATACATCCTCGACCAGAACGAAACCCAGCCTGCTCCTCGCGAGTCAATCCTTCTCGGGTTCTGAACAACCTACGAAGTATGACGGAAGCCAATAGCTTGGACGCAATCGGAAGTAGACTTATCCCCCGATAGTTGTTACAGGAACAACGAGAACCCTTTTTAAAGATAGGGACAACTATCGACTCATTCCATGACGTTGGTACACTCTCTAGTTCCCAGATCTTTGTAAACAACGTCGTCAGTCCCTTAGTCAAAAAGTCACCACCATCTTTAAAAAGAGCCGGAGGTAAGTCGTCTGGGCCCGGTGATTTGTAACGTTTCAAGAGTTGGAGTTCCTTGCGGACTTCCGCCTCATTTGGTGGATCAGTCGTCACCGGCCATGGAGGGCAGGACAGTCTGACCGATGTTGCCGGAGCAGCAGGCCAGTTGAACTGCCCTTCAAAGAATTCTGCCCATCGTCCAAGACGTCGATGGATGTTAGTGACTGGCGTTCCATCATCCTCACAGATTGTTTCGCTCACATCAGACTTCTTGCTGCCAGTGGCTCGGATGAGTTGGAAGAGCTTCCGGTAATTACCAGATGCAGCTGCTGCTTCCAGCTCATTAGCAAGCTCCAACCACCAGGCTTCTCGGTCCTTACGCAAGCTTTGCCCGATTTCATTACGGAACATCCTTCGTCTGTGGTCAAACTCAAGGTCACCCGGAGTAGACCGACGGGCTTCAATCAGTTGTAAGGAACCAGAAGAAACCCAGTGCTTATAAGCGGGACGTTTCGCGAACCCACAACAGACTGTACCCGCCATTTTCATGGCGCCATGCAATTGCAACCAATGCTCATCAGACTTTCCGGTGGAATGGTAGCTAGCCTAGAAGCTAGCTCGGTTCGGTGCTTACTAGCAACAGAAGTTGCAGCCAGCTTGCTAACATCAATCCTGTGGTGGCGGTCACTTTGTTGTCCACTGGAAAGTAAGGTAAGATTGGCGCAGACCAGGGCATGATCAGATTCCAGATAGGTACTCCAAAAGGAGCGGCAGTCTTGTACACAACCGCGCCAGCGGTAGCTGATCGCGATGTGATCAATCTGAGTCCAGGCTTGAGATGCAGAAGGAGGACGCCAGGTGGCACATCGGCGATGACTGTGCCGAAAGTTTGTGCTAGCCAGAAACAGGTTGTGGTCTGTGCATAGTTGCAGTAGAAGTTCCTCGTTATCTGTCCTGCGACCAACAAGTCCCCATAGGCCACTTAAACGACTCTTCTGTACCTAGACGCCCGACCTGAGCATTCAAGTCTCCGGCTAGTACTACAATATCTGTCGAACGCACTTTCTGGAGAAGAACAGATAACTGGTGGTAGAATTCATCCTTGATTGCATCCGGGCTGCAATCTGTCGGGGCATAGGCGATGACGAAAAGACATTGTTTCTCACGCCGATTTCTTCTCACTTTGATGGTACTTTCTAATCTAACAGCACATAATCGACTGTTAATGGGGATCCAGTAGATTATCAAACTAAGTAAACAATAACACCAGAGACAAATTGATCCAATCGGATATAAACGTGAATTATCTTTAGAGTTTGTTATTAATGATATTTATTGTTAGGTAGTGGGGTTTGTAACAATCAATTCAATTTAGCTCATTAGAAAGCTCTCGAATAAGTTAACACGAAAAGAGATGGTAGATGATGGTTTCACCGTTTTAAATAAATTGTACAGTTGAGTGCTCAAGTACCGAGTCAAAAGTTTTAACTTAATTAATTATTAGGCAAATTATTCATATTAGAATTTTTCTGATATTTTATAATTGTGTGAAGGCTATACCTCTTCAGAGGTTTAATGGCTTTACACGTTAAAACATTTTTAACTAGTAACAAGATCCAATTCATAATTTTTTACTACAATTTGTCTGAAGCAAAAAGATTTACGATATATAGAGAAAGGACATTTTTTATTGGACAAGGCACATAAATGCATCAGTTCAAGTAGTCATACATCATTAACATAACAGGATGGACATCGGCTTAATAGAAGTAGTTACTTCAATGGTAGTAATGTATAAAAGAAATATTGCATAAAAGGATATAGTACAGAAAGAAAGATATGAAGCGATTTTAATCTCATAGTTTAAGGGAAAACAGAGTGTATACACCTACACAATTGTAATCGATTCTGAGCCATGTCACCAAGAGTCTCCAACCATTGGTTACGATAGTCACACGGACCCCAACCAAGTAGTCTGTATCTACTAACATGACTCAGATTAGTAGTTAGTAACTTCAAGGACTGATGCCATGTTTTGGTTTGGCCGCCCCTAACTTTATTCCGACCATTCCCAACACTAGTCAGCATTACGCGTCGTGGTAATCAGTGTTCAAGCATACGTTCACACGTGGCCCAACCATCTCAGTCGATGAAGATTCACGTCATCAACTGATTTGCCATTGTTCCCTAATACCCTGCGTCTAACCTAACTGTTACTTACCCGGTGATCCCAGCAGATGCAAGCAATATTTCTAGGGCATCTGTGGTTAATACTAGTAGCTCACGAGTATTTTCTACCATTAATGGCCACGTTTCGCAGTCGTACAGTAGAACAGAACGAACTGCCGTGCAATATACTCGTCCCTTAATTGATAGACGGATATCTCGCCTTCGCATAGGTGACGTGAGTTGGCAAAAACCAAACGAGCTTTCTGAACCTGTGCAGAGATTTCGTCAGACACCAACCCATTAGGCTTGCTCAGACTTCCAAGATAAGTGAAGTTGTCGACTCGTTCGACTACTTCACTCCCTATTCTTAGTTCAGGTGTTGACACAGGCCAGTCCTGAAGCAACAATTTGCATTTAGAGGAGGAGAAACGCATCCCAAACATTCTGGCATTGTTGTTCAGTGCTATCAAAAGGTTCTGCATTTTATCAGCGTCTTCACCAAAAAGGACTATGTCATCTGCGTATTCTAAGTCGATAAGTGGATTTACTGGTAGGAGATCAATGAACGAAGATTAAGTCGACGAGAACGTTGTTTCCATCAGTGTGCCTATGACGAAGTTAAACAAAATGGAGATAGAGGACAGCCTTGACGGACACCACTTTAGGTTGCAAAATCAGATGACAGTTCGCCATAAGCTCTCACTCGACTAGTAGTATTCGAGTAAAGAGCATTCACGAGGTTTATGTACCTCTGAGGTACGCCTTTCAATGACAAACACTGCCACAGAACCTCTCGATCTACGGAGTCAAATGCTGCTTTCAAGTCAAGAAAGACCACCATTGTCGGACGCCATAAACATGCCTGTGTTCTAGAACCTGACGAATGGTGAATATGTAGTCTACGCATCCACAACCAGGTCGGAAGCCAGCCTGATTTTCATGTGTTTGCAGTTCACGAGTCTTAGTTATGCGCCCGATAATTATTGAGGCTAGTATTTTAGATGACATATCAGTCGAACTAATCCCTCTATGGTTGTAACAGGATGGTTTTGACCCATTCTTAAGTATCGGGACAATAAGTGATTGTAACCAGTCAAATAAGACTACATCCAACTCCCAGATTCTAGCTAAAATATTGACCAACATAATCGTTAGAATTCGAACACCATACTTAAAGACCTCTGGAGCCAATCCATCTGGACCAGCTGCTCTTCCTCATTTCAGATTAGCTATCGGTTTTTGAACTTCAACTAGAGTCGGCGGAGCTACTTCAACGTTCCATTTACGCTGTCTGGGAATGGCGGGTAGTTGTGGATTAGCTGAAGGCCAGCTAAACTGTTCCGCACATCGTTCTAAACTTCTGGGATGAGAACAGTTAAGTGTCATCTTTTTTCGAGATAGTCTCATTTACACTTGACTTCCTAGTTCCAGTTCCTTTTATTAGTCTGAAGAGCTGTCTTGTGTTACCTATAGCCGTTGCCTTTTCCATTTCATTTGCTTTCGTTGCTCACCACTGCTCACGGTCGTTCCTTAGAATTTTGATTAACCTAGATCTGATTTGTTTTTTCTCTTCATCGTGTTCAGAGCCTGATGGGATGAGTTCAAGAGAATCCATCAGTGCAAATCCGGTAGGTTTTTCCACAAGATAAAGAACGATGAGATGCTTCGTCATACAAAAAAGTAAATAGTTCTGTTCGTTTTTACACGTAAGTATGTTTTTATATTAGATTTCATCGATCACAATCCTTACCTTGACAAGCAATTTTATTTGGTATGGGAGTGGGCTGAAAGAAAGGTAGGAGTCGCCAAACCAAAACATGACATCAGTCCATGAAGTCATTCACAACTGGACTTCGCAATTTTAACAGGTATAGACTATCTGGTTGGGGTCAGCGTGATTATCGTAACTAGTGCTTAGAGACTTTGAATGATATGGCTCAAAATCGTTTGCAATGGCGCAGGTGCATCCATTCGTTGTCTTTCCCCAAATTCTAAATTCTGCATAACCTTTAGTTCTTATTTTATCAATTTATATTTTATTTTCGAGTCGTGACTTTAATATTTAATCTTTCCTATTACCATTGATACTGTCACTACCTTTACCATTCTGAGATTTGGTCTGACGTTTTGATTTCTCTTTGCTAATGAGGTATGACAATTTGAACCAACATACATTTATTTATTTGAACACATAAATATTGGTACAGGGGGCACCAAATATATATGCGCCACACACCAACATACATAAATACTAGGTGATACGTCGTGATCGACTGGATAAATTATACCTTAATCCTAGCTTAATTTTAGATTAGTTGGCCATGATACCAGGACAAGAGCAAAGACAAGTAGCTCCATAAGAAAACTACCTGCCTTGGTTTGGGCGCTTGGGTAATAGTCCAGCTCACACAAATCGAATGACGAAGTGTGGAGTATGTATATATGGTGTCTCCTTGTATCGATGTTTGTGTTGAAATAAATAAATAAATGGAGTAGTTAGGATGTCATAACATTCCGTAACATGTAAAAGCCTGGGGAATTTTCTGTTTATTCGTCGTTAGCGAGCAGCCAAATCATTAGATGTACCTGGTGTCTCGAAATTTAAAAAAATACGCCACAAAAACTATGCTTTGACACAATTAAATAACAATAGGATACCATGGCGTATAGTGGTAAATGGTAGCTGAATTAAACAACTAAAAAGCTATGTTAAATGTTTGTAAGGTAATTCGACTCCTCTGAAGTTTATGAAAATTGTTTGCTAAGTGATACTTACTAAGCCTGCTGCCAAACATCGTATTTAGGAAAACAAAAAATTTCAGATTTATATTTACTACAGGATATAGCATTACCTTCAGTGAAGCATTTTCCTGGCGAAGAGCAGATATTTCAGCCATTAACCTTTCAACATCCGTCTGGGTCACACCAGTATCATGTACAGGTTTCTAAAAATGTGCGTTAGTAAGCTTTTCACTTACAGATGATGCAATTTGCTGTTTGCTAACTTCTATCCTTTCCACCTAAACATTTAAAATAGAACAGAAACTAACTTACAATGCCTGTGTTTTTGAACACACATTTTAGGTAATAATCCGTCACCTTTCCTTCTTTAATCAAAGCCTATTGTTTTAATTTTTTTAAATAAACCCACTGTTTGATCTTTCTTTGGATCTGCTTCTTCCGCAGCAACGGTAGATTGAATTAACATTCTCTCACGATTTTTTGCTGTAAAGTCGAAATCATCGGCATGAAACACAACTATACAATATCGTAACGAAAAGATGTATCATACCTGAGATCTCCAAATTTTCATGGGGATACAAAACACCTGTACTGGGGGTGGCAGAAAAGTGATCTGGGGACGATGCGCTAATCTTAAAGCAAATGGACTGTGAAGAAGGGTTTGTCAGTTTCACAATAGATGTAACAGGTCTCACAAAAGGACCTAGTTGAGTTAATACATAAAAACAAAGAAAATAACCTTCGAAGACTAAATCCCGGCTAGGTTCAACATGAAGCTCATCAGGCAAACGCAAAAGACAAAAGAGCCGTGAGTCCATGAGCTTGCTAGGAGGTACATCCTTCCACTTAGGAAATAAATACTTAAGTTTTGCTAATTACATACCAATTCCTCTATGACAGGGCGAGGATCATCAGGAGCAATGAGAGACTGAATCATGAACTTATGATTAAATTTTTCTGCGGCATTGTAACTGAACGGCTGGAGCATTACTGAAAAATAAATATTTACCCCAGATTCAAGCACAAAACAAACCTGCAACTTCTACAGTTTGATGAGGTTCTATATATCCGTTGCTTGGTTTTACACAATAACATTTGGGCACTGTCGTCTTGATCTTAAACCCAACGGCTCGGTTCAAAGGATTTGTCAATTTCATATAAGAAGTTACTACATTGACGAAAGGACCTACATGGAAGCCATATAAATGATATTAATAATTTTGCGAGAAAAAAATACACATAATTGGAATGAGTTGTTTATGAGAAAAAGACCAAAGCGATTTCTGAGTCAAAAATTGGCTACCGAGTCAATGGGAAATACGTCAAAGGCTCCGGATATCGCTACAAAAGACACGTTTACCTTGTAGCCAGATTGGTTGGGAAACTGGAGAGTTGTGAGATCGACACCAAAAACATGAATATAAATTTCAACACAACTCATTGACCGGGAACAGGTTTAGATATTCAGCTTTCAACCACACCTCTGAGGAGCACTGTTGACACTACCCGGTCGCCCAAACTAAAGTGAAGTGTTCGGATTCGCGGCCTGTTGTTCTGATCTCAAAAGCTAGAACCACAACACCATGGCTTCATTAAATTAGAATTAGAAAATACTAGTAAAACTCTACGAAGTTTTTTCAAAGTATCCGTACAGATTTGCTTTTTTGGTGAATGTGAAGCAGCGATGAAAAGTGATGCATGTATTCTTGGGATACCCAAACCGAAATCCAAGCAACAGTAGGAATTACTACTGGTAACTGCATACAACATTAAGCCAAATATATCTTCAAGGCATGAAGGGACATGATAAAAAGAATTTAGAAAGGCTAACAGAAAGCCAGGAATATAAGTACGTTGAAATTACGAATTTTTGGTCAAAAACGTGTTAGGAGTACTTGTTCCAGAGAATGAACGAGTGACTATGAACAACCTGAATAACGCTTCAAAAGTGTTTAGGATGTCGACCACTACCTATAAGTTAAAAATGTTGATTAAGAATAAGTCCATATCAGTCTGGTTAGACTGTAGGAAGCATATTAATCACAGCATCTACACGAGAAGTCTTAGTCCAGGTAAAATGGTAATTGGAAAAACCATGGGACTCGTACTAAATAGTCGCTTGACTTTTTCCAATTTTACTTGCGCCACAAATGAAATGTCCGCCAACCCACATAGAGCTAATTTACTACGAAGCGACCTGTATTGCATCACTTGGCGGTTCAGTAGTACAGCTTCCACAGTCTCGAAATTACCGGTAACTACCTTGACTACCACCAAAGTCCTCTTTCAAAGCTATGAACATTTACTAGCCCTAGATTTAACTGGAGTCAGGTCTATACGCACACTGCAAATCTGCTCAGACGGTGAATATATAGAATTCTAAGTGTCCGGTAGACGAACTAAGTGGCCAACTTAATCGACGAGCAACTCAATGACTCAATCTCTAACGTTACCCATTCATCGAAGCCAGCTTGATCTCTAATCCGACGCAATCAGTATAGCCTATGCAACACGACATGGACATACCCAAATCATATTATTTTATCGATAACTTGTCCTCATGTCAACTCTTCTCATTGATCCATTCAGCGGATTGGTCCATTATGATTCAAATAATTATCATAGTCTCATTAACATATTAATGTCATTATCACATAACGTGGATTAAGTTGATTACATATACGGGGATAGGTGACATATGTATTCCAATAATTATGGAAATACATATGAATGTTAACATTCATACGATCCAACTAGAGTCAGATCCCGGGCCACTGGAAATATTCCCAATCATTTCCATTACTTAAAATTGTGAAAATTCTTTAAAGGTAGCAGGCATCGATGTGGGGCTAGCCTTTGAGCATGAATATCTTCAGACGATTGCTTGTGTACAATGCAACTGTCTAATGGATACTGAAGCCATGGACGTTTATCATCCCAAATAGTTGTGACTCAAGAACAGCTATCACTGTGCTGTATCACGGTAAATTAGGAGGACGTTAGAGATGATCTGATTAGAATGCCACTCCATGGAATCATTAAGCACTGATTCGGTTTCTGTAGCCAATAGCAGAACTGGAGGGAGTCAGTAAGATGGCTGCCATTTGAGGTCGCATACCTTAGTTAAGATGGTTTTTAAGTAGTAGTCGTGACCCAAACCAGTTTGGTTCTGCTTCTCGCATAGTAAGTCATGTTTGATACTAAGCCGTATTTACAAGCAATGGAATTCCATTTAAATACTATGTATAAATTTAACATATGATGGTACGGAGTAAAATGATATTAAGTACAATTATAAAGGGACCCTGTCATCTCGTCTGAGGGGGGAGGAATATGATTTAATGTATTTCTTGTGTTAACGTCAAGTTGGATGATGGTATTTTAAACACAATGAAAACTCCGACCTTACTGTCAGTTTTGTTTCTCTCACTAACAAAATATATTTTTGAGAGCAATTTGTAATGTCTAGAAACTAAGACTAAATAGATCCATTTCGATATCCTTATACGGAAATCGGGTAACTAAGTGATACGAATTGCATGTATTAGTATACAACACCTGATACCCTACTATGGATATAGAAGACTACGTTAAAACTTTACTGAGGGCATATCATCGTAAATGACAGATTATAATAACTACCTTCAAATACCAGTTCACTCTTCGGCTCAATCTGCAGCACTTGTGCAGGGCAACCTGCCATTCGAAAAGGGACCTCAAACACCACGAAACCGAAACTTCCAACTCGCAACTGATTAAGTCAATTCGGTGCGCAAACAGTATAGAAGAGAAAATAAATTTCGATTGCAAATCAGTATGATAAAGTCACAGTATCTTTTATGATTTTCTTGGTATGGATTATTTTGTCAAGTGAGTCAATGTTCCAATGGGAGATTACGAAAGAAAGAAGCTAATGCATGGAAGATCTATATTTGTTTCAATTATAGACATATGACGAGTGATTTTACATTGTTTTAAAATGCTTATAAAAGACTGGTGTAGCTCTCAATGCATCAGTAGACTAAAGCAATACATCTTTAGCAGCAAATAAATACCCAAAATAAATAACTCTGTAAGTCTTCGATATTTGATGCTGACCACATCAGTTTTAATGGACTCACCTAGCTGAAGGCTCTCGGTCATGCATCCGCTTCAGATCACGAGTGAGTACGCCGTGCTACACATCTCCTACGACCGCCAGCCAGCTTAAATTGACGACTTCTCGATATATCGACAGCCTAACAAAGGTATCTTCAGACCTCTTCGCTTCTGAATTCTGATTTGATTGGGTTGTCATATGTCGATTATAAAAGGTGTTACTGGTTAAGGTGTCGTCGAACTTCGAATACTTGTAGCATCTTTATTGGTGAGCCCAACGTGATCCGGCACATCAATTTGTAAGCTGTGAATTTGTTCACTGTTGGGACTTTATATATCATTTTTGCTTTGCTTTTTATATAGTGTGACATATTTTCAAATATTTTTGAATCTTTTTATCGTTCATTGCTATACTCTATATTCGTCATGACCATACAGACCCCTGAGTTACATAAGATCAAGACTCTTACGCCACTCTCATCCTAGCTAATGCCATTCTTGCCCAATAACATCGGAGTTCGGTTCTGCTACGCAGAAGCTGACTTATACGAGCACAATTCCCCGGCCTTAGTAAAGCGACTAACACGCAAATTCAAACACAAATGGTACGTTTACTAGTGATGTACCGGAAACATACTCAATTGCTGAGATATAACTGATCGACAAAGGTAAGGTTGACTCATCAATAACATCTATCTACAACATGGATCAGGATCAGACGTGTTACGAAAGAGAGTCCAGTGGTTAATTGACCTATGACAATGGCCTGTTTAGACAAATTTTCTTACCTAAGCTTCCTCAACAGATGCAGGCAGTTCCTTTCGCTGTACGGATTACAAAAAGGTACAACCAGAGACATCATGGTGGCTTGTAATATGCATTGAAACGAATGAACATTATTCAGATGTCGATTATCGAACTGCTAACATCTAACTGGCCATCACTCAATATTTATCGTCAGGATCGATCAAGATATAAGAAAGAGAAACTTTTTGAAGTACTTTATGCTGAGAATTCAATAGTGTACCACAAATATAATGTTGAATAAAGCTTATAATAATAATAATAATAATTTATAATTTATTTCGAAATAACGTGGACAAGCTGGCTGCATCTGCCAACCGAATTGTGGAAATCAGCAGAACTTCTGACGGTGAAGTTTCTTCAGCCTAACAAAAACATTAAACGACACGAAATTATGTCAGAAAACTCTGTCATACCGTGATACGTAAATTTAATACTCATCATGAGGGTAGGCGATCCCGAACTCCTCAAAGCAGTACTTCACGAAAACGATCTGTCTCTAGATCACGAGTGACAGACAAACCTGAATGGTGCTGGTAGCATAATTAGCACGGAAACTTTCAAAATTGTAGAAAACTCCGTTGTTTCCCGATCCCCAAACTGACCGGCACTCGTTAACGGCAACCGTAGACGGCAAAATAGCCATCTGTTATACGTAACTACTGTGATGAGGAAAGTTCGCTACCTCGTTAATACTTGCGCAGAAGTTGGCGTTCTTCCTGAGAACTCTAACGACCGACTTCTTGGAGTAGTTTTCGACTTACAGGTGGTAATTGGGAAACCAATCGTCACACACGGTACGCGAAATTTGTAACTAAACGTGGGTTTACGCCAACCCATCCACGAAAATCTTCGTTGTTGCGGGTGTTTTTGAGCCAATCATTGGTATAGACCTGCTACAACACATATCCTACCCATCGACACGCGCAAACGGAGGTGGATAGATGAAAACATTGAATTGTCTGTTTGTGTAACTTTTTTTCCTGTTGTAGAATTACATCCGTCACAGTAAAGCCCACGATCCATACTACCAACAAATACTCGATTAGTACATCGAGCTTTATTAAACGTGACTGGAATTAACATGTGTGATCAGCAATATTACACTCCATACCATGACTAAAAAACCAATTACATTCTTGAAAGCGCGCCGACTAGCTCTCGAAACGCCAAGGCTGGATGAAAGCGAATTCAACCACGTGATAGAGTTAGGAATCATTCGGCTGTCAAACAGTCCATGGGCATCTCCCTTACATATGGTCCCAAAAAAGGACAGCAACTAATGGAGTCCAACTGGTGACTATCGGTGATTGAATGCGAAAACTATTCTTGATCGTTACCCGTTGTCTCACATTTACGATTTGATAGCTACCTTGAAAGGTACGACAGATTTTTCGAAAATCGACCTGGTTAAAGCATACAACCGAATTCCCATGGCTGCTGATGACATTCAAAAAATCGCTATCATAGCACATTTCGGTTTAAGAATTTCTGCACAAACATTCCAGAGTTTCTTCGATGGCGTTTTTCGAGGTCTCAACTTCATACATGCGTATGTTGATGACTGCTTAATAGCAAGTTCGGACAAATAATCTCATCTCCATCTGGACCTTGTTTTCGAATGACTACAAAAGCATGACATTACCGTAAACATTCAGAAATGCCGAATCGGAACGGATTCCTAAGATTTTTTAGGACACACTATTAATGCGCAAGGCATATGACCTCTTAGGAGCAAAGTGGCCGCCATTCTGGATTACCCAGAACCGACCACAATCAAGCAATTACGCAACATTAACGACCTCATAAGTTTCTATAGACGGTTCATACGGAAATGCGCGTAACTTATGAGACCTCTGACCGACCACCTTCGTGAAATGCGAAATCCATCGATCTGTACGACCTCACGCGAAAAGCATTTTCCACCGCTAAAGAACTTATCTCCCAAGCAACAATGCCTGCGCATCAGGACACTCAAGCGCCCACTAATATCGCATCTGACTCAGCAATCGGAGGAGCCTTGTAGCAATGGGTTAACCACTCCTGGCAACGTTTGGCATTTTTTTCTAGATGGTCGCTAAACACGGAATCGAGGTATAGCACTTTCGGCAGGGAACTCCTAGCTATGTGTTATGCTGTACGGTATTTTCAACACTCTTTCGAAGGCCGCGAAATCAGCCATTTCGCGGATCATAAACCTCTTACCTTCTCTTTAAGCGCATCTTCAGACAAGTACTCTTGAGTCTCGACAACCGGACTACATTTAGCAGTTTACTTCAGATATGCAACACAGTTCTGAAGCAAACAGCGTAGTTACAGATGCTTTGTCTCGTGTAACTTCCTTGAAGAGTTTCCAAGGAATTGCTTTTCTTAAAATTGCACAGCTTCAAATGGAGACACTGATCTTCAGTACGAGTTACCCTCAACAACCCTGAAACTGCTCTCTAAACTGATGAAAACAGGTAAAGAAACCTTACTGTGTGACACATCTGCGGGTATGGATCGCCCGATAGTGCCGAAAAATTATCAACGCAACTTCCTTAATACGTTGCACAAATTTTCTCATCCAGGTGCTCGTGCAACTACCAGGCTTATAGCAGAACGGTTTCGTTGGCCTGGTATTAATAAAGACGTGAAGGAGTAAGCTACCAAAAATCTAAAGTTATCAGACAAAACAAATGTCCTTTAGGCTCATTCAAAACTCCTGGTGCTCATTTTGACCATGTTCATCTGGATGTGGTAGGACCTTTGCCAGATTCAAATGGATATTCTTATCTTTTTGAACTGCGTATACCTTTTAACTCGATGGTCAGAAGCAGTGCCTATCGAGGACATTACCGCTGAAACAGTGGCCAGCGCTTTCGTTGAAATATGGGTAGCGAATTTCGGTTTCCATTCAACCATCACTACAGATCTCGGACTTCAGTTAGAATCTGAACTTTTCCGTTGTCTGACAGCACGATTGTGGATCACTCGCTGCCAAACGACCACTCACCATCCACAAGCAAACGGGTTGGAAGAACGCTTTCACCAACAACTAAAAGCTTCACTATCAGCTGACGTTCTTCCACTCGTCTTACTAGGTATTTGCAATGCAGTGAAAGCTGACATTGGATGCACTGCAGCTCAAGTCGGTAATGGAACGACACTTCGTTTTTTAGGGGAATTCGTGGATCCTTCGTATGGATCTAAACTCCTACACGTCGAGATTCACATCGACGACCTCTCGAATCAGCATACGAAGGACCGTTCAATGTTCTTTACCGCGAATCTAAGTACTATATAGTCGATAAAAACGGAACTAACGATAGCATCAGCATTGACCGCATAAAAGCAGCGTATTTATGGGGAAATCCCATCCACGCCGATTGTCCCTAGGTACAATAGAAAGACACGGCTCCTACACTTATAATACCTCTTCCATAAGCTAACATGCACGATGATACTTCGGCAGTATCTGAAAGTAAGCTTAAAACAACGCATTCTGGAAAGAGCAGTAAAATTCCCGGAACATTTAAACGATTATTACACCAGTTAACATTCTACTTCATCTCGACTTTCCTTTGTATTATAGATAATATAACAAAATCAATTTCAATATGCTCATAAATTTATATTTATTAAAAAAAACACTTCGCTTAAATTCGTGTATTAAAATTTTTTAAAATAACCTAAAAAAACAAAAAGCCATTTTGTAGAAATCGTTTTTACGCTATCGCATGTACGTGAGACTTTTTCCTTTAGATGGTGGTTGGAGGTAGTCGACACGAAACCCTGGACCTGGGTTTCGTGCTACTTGGCACTCGTCAGCAAGGTGTACCTGTAATCTTTGAGGGAACTGGTGCTCCCTGGCGGATTCGATCCCGTGTCACCCAGCTTCACAGTCACAGACGTTACCACTGAGCTATCCGGGCCGCGACCGACCTCCTGTAGAACTGACATGTAATCACAATTGATTGATCACTGGGTGACC